ATTGTTCAAGGCATACCCCTTTTTGTTCAGTGGTGACGGTCCTGCGGACTGCCAAAATCGCCACCAACAATCAACCGCGGACCACCACGGGTGTGACGACAGAAGGTAGCTGGAGGTTTGGTTACACTTTGATAGTAACTCTATGGATCTAACCGATGTTGAACGTAGACAGGCTAGGTTCCTCACGCGAGCAAGGCTAGGTTGCTCACCCCAATCAACCCTACCCCTCACCCACGCACGGCCCAGCGGCCGCGAACTGGGCGAGCACCCGGCTGCGCCGCGTGCTCGGAATGCGGAACGGGGAGAGGGCGCTGAGCAATCGGCCGCTAGAACCAGCGCTAAGCAATGCCCGACCAATCACAAAGCGTTGGTCCTAAATATCTACTATCAAGTGTAAACACTACTGGAGGCGTAGATGTTGGGGTATGGTGGTCTGCGGTGCAATACACTGGCTTTGTTGGTTGCGGCGAGGCAAGGAGGCAGAAGATACAGAGATATGGTGGTCAGCGGGAGATTGTTGGCTGCCATTTTGGCAGTCCACAGCAGGAGCGTCACCACTGAACTAAAAGGGGTTGCTTTGAACATTACGGGGTATGTTTGTGAACAGAATGGAGTACTAAAAATCTTTTGCAGACAGGGGGGGTTACCCCGAGGTTTCGTGAACAAAATGGGGCCCTTCAACAATCTCCCCTCTTCCAGGCCATAGTGAACCCTGTTCCTCTGGGTGCAAAAAACAAAAAAAGTTGGGTGTCCAACCGCGGCGCTTGGGGCTGAAGCGCTAGAAGGCGGTTGGTAGGCGCCTACCCGGCGTCAGGTGTTGCGCTCCACACCGAAAGAACATATGCCCATTTTTTGCCGTAACACGGGGGGCATATATCCCATATTGTCAATTCTGTTCTTTTTTTTTTCCAAATAGATGCAACCTGTTGGAGGTTCTTGCGAACTGCATGTAGAATATTGTACCCATTCCTTGTCTACATCCCATGTACTAGTAGCCCAAAACATCGCGAGACGATCTTCCGGCGTGCGGAATCCCGACCTCGACACACTCCAGTCGAGGAAACCATGGAGCGACGGCTTGCGCGTTTTGGCACGCCCGGATCTGTTGCTGGGGCCGTGCTGTCGAAGGCTGCAGCTGCTGCCTGAAAAGCGTTCCGCAAATCTGGACCTGGGCCCATGTCATTCACGATCCACGCTTGCTGTACGCGTGACAAGCGCAACCCCTCCAACTTCACCATTTCGTTTTTGGGAGGGGAGCATTCCCAGTACCACTGGGGCGTTCTCTTAGTACGCTATTCCTTCTCTAGAAAACGCATTTTGAGCTTAATAATGGCAAGGGTTATCGAGTGTCCACTACTACTACACACAGCTCTTAACCTGAGTGCCAGAAACCAGGATTCGATTTGTCCTTCCTACTTAAGTTCCCAGGAGTCGAAACACGGCCATCGTCGGCCAACACGGCCTGGTTGGAGCCTAGAAGGCCCGTGATATCGAACACTTGAGTGCAGAGCCTGGTGGGACCCTGGGAGATCTCTCCCGTGTCTTGGCAAGAGATGTCGACAGCTCCCTTGCAATTCGTACCCTCCCCGAGGGAACAACCCCTCTCCCCGCCCAGTCCAAAAATGTATCTATACGACAGCACTACCAACAAGGTTTCGATGTACTGCTACTTCGTACCAGTTGCCGTAGACTTGTCTCCGGAAAAAACCGGGGCGTGTTGGTAACACATGGGAGCAGGGAAGCTGTTCCCGTCCCATGTCTGTCCCTCTCCCCGACCGAAATCGCCCATTCTGGCATCAATCCGATTAACAGCCGAATATATCCCTGACCATTCTTACTGAAAAATCGTTCCATTGTTGCTAGGGCGCACCCGGTGCCTCGATGCCTTCGTCGTCGCCTTGAGCCAAGCGTGCGAGGGAGGGGAGAAGCGCTGGTATGCGTCGACACTGGAGCTGCAGCTGACCTCGCTGGATTTGTGCAGGGCGTGCCGAAGTACGCCGATCTTGCACGTGCAAGTAGATGATCAGACTCCTCGAAGCTTGTGGTCTTCTCGGACAACACAGACCGGGCCGAACACACACAGCTCGAATCTCCGTATCTCGGGCCGTGTGCCGGTCGTGCGGGCTCTTGGTTTGACGTGGGCCCTGTCCATGGAAGATCTGCTGAGGAAAGCCGCCATCGAGCTGTGGACGTGGTCACAACGTCTTGAGCTGCAGGGATCGTGGTGTGCTTCTAGCTTAGGATCAGAAGTGGTTTGGCCCCGAGGGTTGACCCAGCTGGTATTGTTCGCAGATTCGGATATTGCAATGGAGAACGTGTGGTGGCCGGTGCGTTTGCAATGTCTGGCACTTCGGGGTCGTTTCAATGCGTCTATTGCCGGAGTGGTATTGCCGGCGTCCCTGCAACAGCTATCGTTCGGAAACCACTACAATCAACCTATTGCCGGAGTTGTGTGGCCGTCCTCACTGCAGCAGTTATCGTTCGGGGACAACTTCAATCAGCCTATCGCCGGAGTCGTGTGGCCGTCCTCGCTGCTGCAGCTAACAGTCGGGTACAACTTCAATCAGCCCATTGCCAGAGTCGTATGGTCGTCTTCGCTGCAGCAGCTATGGTTCGGGAACAACTTCAATCAGCCAATCACCGGAGTCGTGTGGCCGTCCTCGCTGCAACATCTATCGTTCGGGGACAGCTTCAACCAGCCTATCGCCGGAATCGCGTGGCCGTCCTCGCTGCAACAGCTATCTTTCGGGTCACAGTTCAATCAACTAATCACCGGGGTCGTGTGGCCGTCCTCCCTGCAGCAGCTATTGTTCGGGTACAGCTTCAATCAGCCTATCGTCGGAATGGTGTGGCCGTCCTCCCTGCAGCAGCTATCGTTCGGGTTACTTTTTAATCAGCCTGTTGCCGGAGTCATGTGGCCGTCCTCCCTGCAGCAGCTATGGTTCGGGTACAACTTCAATCAGCCCATCGCGGGAGTCGCGTGGCCGTCCTCCCTGCAGCAGCTATCGTTCGGGTTTTACTTCAATCAGCCTATCGCGGGAGTCTTGTGGCCGGTTTCTCTGCAAAAGCTATCATTCGGGGACAGCTTCAATCAGCCTATCGCCGGAGTCGCGTGGCCGTCCTCGCTGCGACAGCTTTCGTTCGGGTACAGATTCAATCACCCTATTGCCGGGGTCGTGTGGCCGACTACGCTGCAGCAGCTATCAGTCGGGTACAATTTCAATCAGCCCATCGCCGGAGTCGTGTGGCCGTCCTCCCTCCAGCAATTATGGTTTGGGTACAACTTCAATCAGCCTATCGCCGGAATCGCGTGGCCGTCCTCCCTGCAGCAGCTGTCGTTCGGGTACAACTTTAACCAGCCAATGACGGGAGTCGTGTGGCCGCTTTCCCTGCAAAAGTTGAAGTTCGGGGACGGCTTCAATCAGCCTATCGTCGGAGTCGTCTGGCCGCCGTCCCTGCAAAACCTTTCATTCGGGGACACCTTCAATCAGCCTATCGCCGGAGTGATGTGGCCGTCGTCCCTGCGACAGCTTTCGTTCGGGTACAGATTCAATCAGCCTATTGCCAGAGTCGTGTGGCCGACTACGCTGCAATCTGTGACATCTTTTGGAGAAAGCCTGTTGTGAAAGGTTCAGTTTTTGTTTTCGAGATGACTGCGCGGTTTTGTTCAGCGTGTTGTTGAAACGAATGGCTTGTTTGTATCGGTGTTACAGTCCAAGTGTCTAACCAAATGGGAGAGAGTTGTCGTTTCATACGCATAAAATACATATTTCAAATGCTACCTTGCAGGCGCATCAAATAATCATGTACATTGTGCAATCCTTGTCGGGTGTAGTAGCCGTCTCCCTGGGAAAAGTTAGTGAAGGTTTAGGATATCTCGGTAGGGGATTGTTCTGTCCTTGTGAAAGGAATACATTTGAATGGTTCTTGTTGCAAGGCGTCAAATGTCAATATTAGACTCTAATGTTTGACAAGTCGAACGAGATATGTGGTGAAGAACCATCGTTTCTTCGATTCCTTCTGTAGCGATTGTGGTGTAAACCGGCACGATGAACGCGCATCCATTCATGGAATTGCCTGGGTAATATTTGCTTCGTACATGTCCCCTTCGTGCGCGTATCGTCGCCGTCACAAGGACTTGTGCGTTCGTGAGGTTTTGTTCTTCTCGGTCGTGCTCGCTCGCACCGATTCCTTGGACAAGTGTCTACGCCGGGTCGTTCTACTACTGTACTCCTGCAGATGGCGCTGGCAGTTTTTGATCGACTTGATTATGCTTGAGAAACTATATTCCATGGTCGGTCTAAACCTTGTTTATGTTGTGATGAACGAAAAACCATTTCGTGCATACCTAGGTACACTTTTGAACCTCCATAGAGCCTGGAGGAGGGTGTTCAAAAACCATGTTTCGACCTTTCTCCATAGATAGAAGTCGTTTCACTTTTCTTTGTGCACCCTGGGTTATGTAGTCAAAAAATCATTTTGGAGGCATCGAGCACATTCATTCCAGCGCGTGGAGCATGTCTCCCGCCTCCTCCCCCCGCGTTCATTCCTGGGCGTGGTGTCGAACTCTCGCTTCCTACCACTCTTTGTATGGTCGTAATTTCCGACTGGATCCACTGAGACCAAACATGGCTCCTTAGGAGAGACCCAAGACGGACGCTTTTTCTCAACATTCGGGTATCGTACGTCAGAAAACCAACAGTGAAAATAGTTGGAAAAGAGATGGGGGTATGATTGTGCCCTATTTGGTCATTTTCTTTCACATGCAAGAAGCAGTCTCACTCGTGGGCCGTGGGCCCGTATAGTGCCAAAGAGCTTTTAAACTGAAGAGCTAGCTGGCGAAATGTCCTGGGTAGCCGCCTGTTATGACATGTCCTTACTTCCTTGTCATAGTGTTCAGTTTTGGTATATACTTCAGTAGACAGTAGAGAGGCAGGAGGACGCGTACGAGGCTGTCTACTGATGGCGGCTCGATGCACTCCTTCCTCTATTTCTAGACAATTTGTAGCTTGTTTTTCCCCGTTTGGGCTGAATGCCTTTTGGGCTTGTTCTTCCTTTCTTCCAATTTTGATCTCGCTGTCACTTCGTCTATCCGGAATACATTCGAAACGGCCTTGATACTGCCGTCAAGGACCACCAACAACCCTTCACAGTCTCCAAGCATACAGCAGTTGGTGCTCGCACTCTAAACTTGGCAGTAAAGACCCTGAATGCAAGCCTGGAAAAACTCATACCACACAAGTCTAATCTAGGAACCTGAGCACCACATGTGAGCCCGGTTGAGAACGTCTACACCAAAAAACAATATATCGCGGCCATTTGCCTCGTAACCTTCGGAAAGAAACCCAGCCTCTGCCAAAACTACCTTCTTAAGAGCCGGCCCTAGCTCTACACATTCATCGACCAGACAAAACAGAGCATGTCCTGATTGTTTCCCAGAGAGCTCTTGCCATACGAACGAGCCCCGAGTGATAGCATATAGGACGTCAATGCCACGTATTCGAGAAGATTTCTGCCGGCAACCCGCTCTGGCCTCTCGGTGACTTCCATAAGACTCTCAAATTGGATTTTAGTTCCATAAGCTTCAGCCAAATGCGCGTACATGTGGTTCTCTTTTGCCTCCACTTGCGCCTCCGTCGGGTTTCAAATCTCCCGCGCACATGTCGACAACCCTAAGACAACGTATCCATACACCGATAACATCGTGGTACAACCTAAAGTACAGCCAGGGTTCAAGACTCCGTTCTGTCAATACCTTCACCCCAAAATATCTTGGACGAGATCCGGAGCTTGGATCGTGCTCACTAACGTGGTTGCCAGGCCCTTTTCGTTCGCGTAGTCACCAGAACCAAACTAAATAGGTGCGCAAGTTTCAGCTTGGAAACACACGAAATGCAGATTGTAGTCGACATCGGCAAGAACTGATGCCTAACTTCCCGTGGTTGCTGCCCAGGAATTGTTCCTTCCTACAGCAGCTTGCGGGTGGAACCGCCTGCGACGCAGATGTCGTCACCGGGAAAGCCGATCACGAGGGCTTCATCGGCGACAAACCCGACCGTGCAGCTTTCTTCGACCTGTGGAAAACACGAGAAGCCAAGAAACGGCGCAAGAGATCAAGAGCGACCCATGGCAAGAGGGAGAGTGACGAAATCGGACAATGGGCGAAAGGCGTTGCCCTTCTGCAGGACGCACTCAATTTTCGCCAGAAAATGTTGCTGTTCAGACGGTAACGGTCTACCCCAATGACTGTAGTCGAGTATCCACCACCGGCCGGCTGAGAATCACATGAGATGGAAGTTGTTTGAATCGTCTACTGTGCAAGAAAACGAAGCCAAATTCTAATTCGACTGTTACAAAATAAACACCAGTTTATTCTATCTGCTCTTCGAACAAACCTTCCTTTGTTTGAATCGTCTACTGTGCAAGAAACAGGAACGAGATTAGCCAATCAAGGACGGGAGGACAACGCTTAGAAAGACCGAACGAGCATCATTGGTTGAGAAGACAGCACGAGAAGAGAGCCCTGCCGTCTACTGGTCGAATGGCATCGTCCTACACAGAATTAGTACTGTGAATAGGCAAGGCCAAGCCCTGACCAACCGCCCTCCGAAGGCAATGCCGCTGATCAGGATCATTTGCACCCACCGGGTACTCGTCTTCATAGACGTCGTTGTTGGTGAACCGAGTCACAACTTTCGGTTCCTGGAACGTGAGCGTCCCCCCCGTCATAGCGAAGGCGGCTCCATTATCGGCAGAGTTGCCGTCGAAGGTGGTCCATTTCTTGAAGCTGAGAATAGGGTCACGGCGAGCGGTTCAAGGGCTAGGTGAGGGTTTCTCGCAGCGCATACAGCAGCCTCTCCTACTTGGGTTATACAATCTACGGTTGGTCTTCTATCCGAGTCGGCCGCGGGTACACGGTACCTTTCTGGGTCACAGCGCGACTGTCCAAGTTGTGGTTGTTCCGCGCTCCGACTCGACTGTGAAACGAAGCGCTTCCCAACCATACATTATTCAACATGCTTCCGAATCACCTTGTGCATCTCGCGAAACCTCATCGACGACATATACGTGACGGCGCAAGGGCATTCACATCAACACAGCGTCATCGTGTACCAAACTCTCGCAGGACAGTGTGTGTGGACAATTTCAGCGATTGTTTTTCTCACATTACGTCGCCGTCTTCGATGCCGATTCCACCACCGAACGCCTCAGCGGAGTTGTCGTTGAACTGCACGGCCCCGTTGAAGCTACGGAAAGCCACCGGAAACGTCACAATTCCCCAACGGACAAGGTCAACGGGGAAAGACAACCGCTTCACAAACTCGGTGAGCCTTGACGTCGTACTAAAGAGGCTGAACGGTCACCCCCCAGTCACAGAAAAGGGGGAAACCACATGCCTGGAGAACCCCAGGAAAATTGGAAATTAGGTCTTTACGCTGGAAACCTGTGACTAAAACTCTGGTGTGAGAAACCTTTCAAAACGGGCTGTTCCCAGCTCTCAGACGACTCTCGTGGCACAGAGGCGTTTGGGAGGATTTTAACCCCCACCGTGACCACTACGGAGCTGAGAAAAATGCAGAAATACAATTTAAACGACTTACGTCATCGTGCCGCCGGACACAACGACCGCGCCTCCGAGGTTCCCGTCCATGTTGTAGTCGAAGGTGGATTTATCGCGGGAGTTGTTGTTGAAGTACGCCTTCCCGTAGAACCTGCGGGAAATGCACATCATCAGCAACGCGACGTAACGTGCAGCACGCTCGGCAAGCCGAAAGACGAATGAGTGGCGTCTGCCAAAGAACGCGCCCATAGTCAGCAGCAGGACTTGCGCCCGTTCTCCGCGGCCTCCGCACTCCGTTAAGATACACGGTCGATATTTCCCGCAAATGTCATGCTGTGGCTTCGATGCCTATACAGGCGACGAGCGTATGCGTGTCTGACGGCGGTACAGCGCCATCTTCGGCAGCACGCCGGAACCCCGACCAATAGGCCGCTGTCAGCCAGCACACGCAATGACCCCCGAAAACCGATAATGTACGACACAAACTACACAGCAGCCCAATGCAGGGCCAGAGTCCGGGACCTTTCCACAGGATGTAATTTCAAGACTGCGTCCGAACCGCGATGACGAACTTAGAGACACCTCCAACCTTTGGGTGATCGGCGGGTTTGGTCCCCGGACTATAGCTTGCGCGTACGTCGGGGCGAAAACACGCACGAAACCCGCAAGCAACACCCGGAATGATGCCGCGCGACAACGTGGCCTCCACGTACTTTTTAGGGGACGGAAGCGTCTCGCATGCCGCCCTCTTCCAACACTGGATCACGCGAGAATAGATTGAAACTCACTTTGTGGTACCGTAGAGTTGCCAGAGCGCCACCCCAGGGCAGTTGTGGTTCTGAAAGACCGCATCCCCTCGCACGCTGGACAGGAAACAGCGTCGCGTTACAGAATCGACGGGGACAGAGCGAGTCGGGGATTTGTAACGCCGTTAACGACGGAAACCAACGGCGTACAGATGGACTGATGCCTGTCTGGCGAACCATGAACGGGGGCCAGGGAAACATGCCGATTTGGCTACATAGTAACAAACATGAGGATTGGAAGTATCGCTACCGTGATATTTATGAAAGTGCTTTCCGAAGTGCACTGACGTACCCAGGGCTACTGGCCTGCTACTCATGATTGATCTTGGAGCCTCATACCTCGTCAGGCACGCGGTATAGTGAACTTGTAAAGCTGATGATGTGTGTGACCAAGCGTATTGCGCTTTGCATACAACATAGAACGATCAGGAGGGCGACGGGGGGGGGGGGGTGATGGATGTTGTCGCGGTATTGAAAGGCGCCAGCAAAACTCATGATATCCATTACTCACACAATTCTCGATTCCTCGTCGATGCAGGAGAGGCTGCAGCTGCCGATGTTGTCATTCTCGTACGAGTTCCCATCGAAGAGAACGTCCTTGGAGAACCTGCCCGGAACAAAAGGCACCACCATAGTCACAGCAGAAAAAGCACAACAGGGTGAACCAGGTCAGGGTATGCGTCGTTCGCCCGTTTGTGTCTCCCATATTGTATCCTCGACTTCACCATAACAGTGCGCGACCTCGCTGAGACTTGCGTGAACATGGCAACAGCAGCAGGGACACGACGCAGATTGGGATACACGACAAGCGTGCGCACCTACCGTGAAAGATTTTCACAGCTGCTGCGCCGCCACAGCAATCATCTGTACCGATCAAATCGAGTTGGAGCGGCTCTGTGCGTTTCGTGGGAGGAGAATGGTTCATCTGACAAATTCTCGTCATTTGCAAGGCGGTGCCTCGTTGTGAAGGTCGGGGACCCCAGAAGTGCGATCTCTCATCCATTACGAGCTACGAAAAAAGATTTTTGCCATGATCGTGTCACTGACTAGATAGCTGGGGCGATGATCGAGTGCCCCGATTTGTACGGCACGACGCGATACCTCATGGCACTGCATGGTACGGCACCGCACGGCACAGCAAGGCACGGAATCATACACGGGCCAACTACGCTACCGTTAGGTAACTAGCTGGGCTCACGTTCTGACCGGCCTTCCTGTAGAACAACATACATATCGACTTGTACGGGTGGACGTACCTGATATAGCCCGAAAAAATGTTCTGTATGGCGTGAAATCGGTTGTTCCGGAAGGTGGCGTCTCCACGGAACCTGCCCGACGAAACACCATCAGCGGGAAAACCGCCGAGGGTTTGGCAGGGTGGAACGGGCGTCAGAACCGGCCAAGCTCTTTTGACAGGGACAATCCATCGTCACCGTCACACTAGGAGCGGGTTTCCTCCATACCCGTCCATGGGGCTACGCGGTCAAGGAAAGAAGGGCTCTTGCTATCAGTTATACCAGGTCTCCCGAAGGACAAAACGACCATCAACATGTACGGTGCCCGGCGTAAAATCGTTTGTATGCGCAGCTGCGTTGCCCCTTTTGCTCAGTACCGCTCACGTAACGTTGACGATAGCCAGAACCAGCCACCCGTTGCCTGGGCCAAAAGAATAAGTTGCGAGACTGTCATGTACTTCCTGGCAACAATCGATGGCGGCATCCGATTCTTCCATACTGACGTCCGTCGGCCCCGTCACCAAAACACACTACTCCGCAGCGCCGACTCCGGTGGGGCCACCGGACCAACGCCCCTTTGACAGCGCCTCACTTGATGGTTCCTTGGTTCTCGTAGAAGACGTACGTGCCGTCCTCGAACAGAGCCGTCTTTTGGAATCTGACTCGAAGAGGCGGTTGGGAGAGGGGCACAAGGATAGGGTAGTCAAGTTCCCCCGAGCGATCATAAAACCCTCCTTTGAACACAAAAGCAGTCCAAACAAATGGGCGTTGCCGTCTCTTGTGGCATGTGTCAACCACTCAAGCAGCGTGCCGATGCACTGGTTACGATTGCGATGTGCCCTCGTTTGCGTCAACGAGGCCATAGACTCACCGAGTGGTTCCACCAACAATGGACTACACGAAATGAATTCGTACCTCAGGCATGCATACTTCCTGCAAATTCTTCTTGGGCACGGGGTATTGACAACAGCATCAAAACTACATGTCTGAAGTAGGTGCGACTGTAAATCGCCCTGAACGAAACCGAGAATCCCTACTGCGAGGCAACACTCACACGACTAGTCATGGGCGGCAAAAACTTGTTCGCACCATAAGGATGTTGCACTCACTCCATGGACCCCCTGTTGTAGAACGCGGTGAAGGCGTTGGAGACATCGCTGGCCACAACGTCCCCCGCGAAGGTTACGGTCGCGCCTTCGTCGACGTTCATGCCGAAGCTGTTGTAGTACCACGTGCCCTCCTTGCGCTGCGGCACACGCACGCGCGCAGGCATGATCGCGACAGGAAATAAAAAAAACTTGCGTCCACCAGAGGCACTATTTCGGCAAATCTTCCTATCGCAGCTGTCGACTACCGCGAGTGCTATGCAACATTTTGACACCCACACATAGACGGGGAGGATGCATAGTTGTACTGGCGTCGTTTCGCCCTCATACTGGGGAAGCACATGGACAATAAACAAATCCTACCCATTGACGTCCCACGAAGACTGGCGTCTTTCCGTTATGGTCGTCCAGTTTCGTGCACTGGGTGCAGAAAGAAGCAAACACCGACACATCCTCAACACGTACAAGACGTGCCTGCAGATTTTCAAATTATCTTTTTTTCGTTCGTTGAGGTCGGCTGGGCTCTTCGAGTCAATAACACGTCAGCTGTGTGAGCTGTTCGACCTTGGGAAACGGCAGCTGTCAGTTGACTCACACCAAGAAAGACAGGCTTTACTTTCATCATCCGTCACGCCTTGGATGACATACGCTCTGATGAGAGAAGTGCGCAACAGACCGCATCCTCAAACCAATACGAAACACTACCAAAGAAAGCTGGCCAACCACGAAAGGGTTGAGCGAGTGCTGCGAAGAATATGGCGACTGCCACCATGGCCACGAGTGCGGGACAGCAGTGTGCCGGTGAGTCCGTTGGATGGACTCGGACACGGCTAGGTGCCCCATTGGTCTTTCGCATATCAGGAGAAGGTCGTTTGCACTAGTTCGATATTTTTCCCATCACTCGGTCTCCCCTTCCGGTAAAAAAGCATAGAAAGGGAACCACACCACCTAACCGGGCCGCACACGTCCGATGTGGGAACAGCAAGCTCCTCAACCGCCGACACACCCGACAGCCTATCCCGGTGTGATGAGGAAGATATCTCGACAAGAAGAAAATGAAGGGTATAGCTGAATGCTACTTGGGGATCGTAGAAATAGCAGGTAGTGCTCTGTTAACGCTATGAATCCACTCACCGATTTTGCCTACACTGTTATCTACGGATAGAGACGGACATAATTAAAATCTTTTGGTTTGTTTGTGCTGCTGTACGTAAGGTGTGGTTTGGTTCTCACCGCCGTGTTGGGTCCGAAGTACGTCTCGGGCATGTCGAACACCAGGGTGGCTCCAGGCTTGACGTCGAATTCTACGTTGACGAATCTGTACAGCAAGCCGACGGGAACACGAATGGAGCAGTGCCATTAGAGTACAAGTGGAACTTGCCCAAAACCGAGGCTCGGGGTACGACCTCGCACAGAAAATCGGACCATGTTGCCAGTGCTTGCGATTCAGAGTGATGTTTTCGGACCAATGCTATCTAGCATCAATAATTTTCCGCGTGGAAGCCCCCTCGCCGTAACTGATGTAAGCATCACCGCTCAGAACGCCCAAAAATATTGTTCAAAAAGCGACCCGGGCGAAGCGTCGCTTGGATACAGACGGTACACTGCTCATAGCCAGACAACCAACGTGTTGTGTGAATTTCACGACAAGCGAATTTGTCTGGTAAAAACATGTTACTCTCGTACGCCAACACGTCGTCAATGACGTTGGGGTTTCTTGGGCGTTGTGAAATGGAAACAGAAACAAAGACCACTACTGAATAACCAACACGAGAGGGAGCAGCCTTCATTTTCCCCTTCCACTTGGATACACAATCGGGTAATACAATTTTGCCGAAGCCATCAACCCATCGGGGCTTCAAGAAGGAAAATGCCCACCCAACTTCTTGTCTATTACCGCTAGTCTTAACGTACACAGCCGCTCAGAATGCCCCGTACCGGACGTAGCTGGAGCTCTTCAGGGTGACGCTTCCGCCATCAATAACGATCTGCTCCAGCAGAATTTCGTTGCCAGCGTCAGTCTCGATCTCTGCACACTCGACACTGCTTACACCCTCGAGGTCGATCTCCATGTCGCCAGTCAGCGGATTCGGGATGCCGAGATAGTTGTCGACATCGTCGCAAGCAGCGCTGTGGTGAAACACGTTCGCGGCCGATGCAGTTCGCACATGTTTGCTGGAGAGATGAAATAACAACTTCACGGTTCTTGGTGGTTCGCTCTAACGTTTAAATTGGGCGATTCCAAGACAAAGGATATTGTGTGTGGGCCGCCCAATCGTCGATAAAAAAAACATGCGGAAAAGAAGGCCGTTCGTTTAGGTCTTCAAGGGTATGCCTTGAAACGCCATCCCTGTTATTTCGTTGTTCCGTGACGGTGATTATTGCTACAAATGTTTTTTTCCTCGAACGTCAAACTTCTACGCAATAGATTAATCTCCTTGGCGGTGTGCCTACTGCACCATTCATATCCTCCCAACTATTGTTCGCCTGATAGGACACAAACCTCTCTACATCATTTCAATAAATCATAAAGAGCTTGAGCTCCCCCGTCGATACAACTGCAATGAACCTTTTCAGAAGAGGACTTAATAAAGCTCGAGATCGAGGTGCTCAGGTTTTGAGTATCATCACACCGCAGAGAAGTAGCCCAAAATAAACCAAAAAAGGGTGATTCACATGCGGACGGACAGCCACGTTTCGCCACAAGGATCACACTACAGCCATTCAACGCCGCCGTGGTCAGCTCAAAGCGGTGACCTTGAAGTAATTATATCGTTAGGACTGAGGGAGTACGTGAGTACATACGGTCGACGTACCCAAGGGTCAGCGGTCATCGTGACGTGCCTTTCGAAACTCTTTCAATGTTTCGAAATTGAATGGTCTGTGGTGCTTCGCAGTAGACAGGTTATTTGCTTCCTCGCAAACCACTTGTTCGGAGGTGTTGTACTTGTATGCATACCAAATGATGAGCAAATTGGGCGTGGAAGTGTGCAAACGCCTGCCTATGTTACCCTCCACCCCCCACTCTCGTTCGTGAGTCCGCCAAGTTATTGTGCTCTCTCTCGCTGGGGTGTGTTTCGTGTGTGCAGTGCTGTACGGCATGAAGTCCCATGGGGTACTCCGGGAGCCCCGCTCTTGACCATTCCTAAAGAGCTAAAAAATTAGCGCGCAAGCGATGACAGCATGAACTGACAACAATACAGTAATTCGGGGCAAATCAGGCCGCAAATCAGGCCGCAAATCAGGTGGTCAAGAAGAAGGAACGACTCACACACCAGCTCTTTCAAGTAAGACTATCCACGCCGACACCATGGTGCGGATGCCTCCTTCGCCTCTATCTACGTAGAGCTGTTCATGTTGACCGCACTGCTCTACTGCTTCTTCGAAAGGCAAAAGAACATTGTTTTGATTTTCCCTATCCACCGCTCGAACGTACAATAATTCAACCACAACGCCAGGCAGCTTTCCCCTCCGTCCTTCGAAACAGCGAAAACAATATTGTAACATCCTCCCTTGTTTGTGTTAGAAGGTTAAAGTAACAGCTCCGCACACGCCCCGGGTTGCTGCAAACGAACTCCCCGCAAGTCAATAGAAATCAACGACAAATATTCTGGAGTCCTCCGCTCCCTCTGCGCGCTATGCGAGGTAACAACTGAGACTAGGAGTCAGCATCACGGGCCAGAGAGAAAGAGGTACACCCCCTTGGTTCAATCTTGGTGCTTCACACGCAAGCAGAGACAAGGCCATCTGACACGGAAAAAGAGAGAAAAAAGAGAGAAAAAGAGCGACATTGACGAAAAGAGAAAAAAGATAAAAGGAAACAGGAAGAAAAGAGAAAAAAAAGAGAAAAAAAAACGAACAAGAAAAAGAGCGAGGACAAAAAGAGACCAGGCCGAAAATAACAAGAAATATGAGACAGAATAAGGCACACGGTGGAGAGACCGCTAACGAACGAACAAGCAAACACGCAAACATGGCCACCAACCAGCGATACATGGTAGTGGTACGTCATCACTAGTGGGGGGTTGGTGCAATGGTGCAGCGTTGGGGGGGGGGGATTGGCTAAAAGAAATTCAATCCGGCACGTATCACGCCACTCGGTCCGTCTCTTCTCGTTTGCTTTCTTCCCTCGCCGTCTCGTCCGTCTCCTGCCCCCCTCCCGCCCCGTTGGTTGTTGGCTTGTGGTCTCGTTTGAGCGCTCGTTGTCGGCTAGCCTCTTCTTCCTTCTTGTGCCAGGAGGTCATGAACCTCTCAGCTCCCTGCAGCACCGCCGCATGCCAGGGTACTCCCCCCTCCACCTTCGCGGCTTCCGTCCACTTTAACTTCGGTGCCGTGTCTTTCGGTACCGGGACTCCGAGACAACCTGGATCGGTTTTCGTAGATCCGTGGTCGCCCCCCAATGCCTTCAAGTCGTCGAGCACACACTTCGGCCAGTTCTGTTCCTGTCCCCCCGTACGTCGCTTCTCCCCCCCCGTCAGTTCGCCGAGCACCAGTCGTTTCGGGAGTCGCCCGTCCGGCTGCCTTGCCAATGATCCCGCGAACGGTAGGCGTCGTTGTCGGATCGTGGCTTCAACGCTCTGGCATTCGACCCTCTTCAGCGTCTGGGCGAAAAATGCCGGTAGGTGTCTTTCTTGCGCTTGTACCCGATGATTCGGAGAAGCAGTCGGTGATGTATCGGCCGCAGCGTCTGGTAGTGGCCGCTGAGTGGTGACCATGTCATGCAGCCGTACAGCAATGCCTCCATCGCCTCCGCCTGGAGGAGGCGGATCTTGAGTCGGAATGGCGCTTTCGGTCTGTCGAAGAGCTCCCGGCCATATCGCCTGAGGCACGCCCACGCTCCTCTGCTCCTTGTAGTTGATCTCCCAGGTGAGGTCGCCATGTTCGTTGATCAGGCCACCAAGGTACCGGAACTCGGTCGTCGGGGCGTATTTCTGTCCCGCGGCTTCGATGGTCAGCGGTGGAGGCGGGGGGGGCTGTGGTGTTGTAGTCGGCTTGTCCTTCGCGCGCTTCAGGAGTGTCTCCGTCTTCTTCTCCGATACCGTCAGCCCGAACTCCCCGAACACCTCAACGATGATGGTCATCATTCTCGCCAGTCCTTCTGCAGACCTCGATACGACGCCGGCATCATCGGCATAGAGCATCCCCCATACTGCCCTCCGTACTCGGTCAAGGGGTGTCTCCTCCGCCCCGCTTCCGTCTTCCCTTCCTCCAAGCACACCAGGCTCCGCAGAACAACACCATCGTCGCTGAAGCGGATGACAACGACCTCGAGGACCTCGGCGAAGAAGATGTTGAACAGAAGTGGGGATAGCACACATCCTTGTCGCACGCCCTGTGTCACGAAGAACCAGTCCGATAGTTCTCCGTCGTCCATGAGCACCCGGGCCCGCATTCCATCATGGAATTGGCGGATGACTTTGATCAGCTTCGCGGGAATCCCAGCCCTGGCCAGCACTTTCCATAGCATCTCTCGGTCCACCGAATCATACGCCTTCTTCAAGTCGATGAAACACATTTAGAACGGTATTTTCTTTCTCCGCCCCAGCTCCTGGAGGCGGCGCACGACGAACAGCATGTCGACGGTGGATCGCCCGGGTCGAAATCCGCACTGTTCCTCCGGGAGGATGTTGTTGGCTTCGCAGAAGGCGCTTAGACGGTTGGTAATGATCTTGATGGGGACCTTGCCTACGTGAGATAGTAGCGAAATCCCCCTGTAGTTGTTACAGTTGGACCGGTCACCCTTCTTGTACAGCACCTTGATGGTTGCATCCTTCCACTCTTGCGGAATATCTCCTCCGTTTCACACCTTTACGAGGATGGTATAGAGGTACCCCAGGGCGAAGGGTTCGTCGTCATCGATTTTGAGCAACTCGGCAGGGAGGGAGTCATGGCCGGGTGCCTTCCAGTTCCTGACGCCTTTCGTTGCCCGTTTCACCTCCTCGAGTTCTGGCACCTCTCCCAACCGTTGAGTGCCACGTGTCGCTGGCCGCTGCGTCCCTCGTTCGATGATGTCTGGGTTCAGGGTAGGGGATGTGGTGTTGAGCAGGGTGCTGAAGAATCTCGCCCACCGCTGGAGGATGTCGTCCCTGTTCCGGAGTAATACGCCGTTCTCATCCACGACGAACTGCTGTCCCCCCGCTTGTCTCCCGCTGAGGCCCACTGATCTCTTGAGGTGTTGGTACAGTCCTCGCATGTCGCGTTCTTTGTAGATTGCTTCGAGTTCATTCACATATCCGTCCAGGTGGGCATAAATGCCCGTTTCGACTGCTGTAGCCACTCCCTTACACGCTGCTTTCAGAGCCCTCCACGTTGCTGAGTTCTAATTGCCCCTCATCGCTCGGCGCGCTTCCCGCCGTTTGGTAAGGGCATCCTCCAGTACTGCTCTCTTCTCTGGGACTCCTGCGTGCGGCGTCTCCGCGGTTCCTCCCCTAGGGTCGTCCGCGCTGCTTCGAGGAGAGCATTGGTAAAGTCGGTCGCCAATTCCGCGGCGGTGGTTGTTCGCTCGTCCAGTTGTGTGTCGAGGTTGAGGAGGAACCGATTGGTCACCACACACCGTGCTGCTTCGAACTGCAATTCCCGTCGGTTGAATTGCATCTGTTTCGGTTTAGTCCGGACTGCACGGTTGTGGGCAAGCCTGCCACCGACATTGACGGTGGATACTACCATGTTGTGGTCTGAGTCTGCTTTGACTGGGCGAATCGGCTGGGGGATGACAACCACGTTAGATACTCGGTCGTGATGTACCTGCCTAGTCAGGATGTAGTCAAGGCGCTTGCAATCGGTTCCCGACACACCGTTGCATGTGCGGTATATTCCGCCCTCGCGTGTCTCAAAGAACGTGTTCATGAGAGCTAGCCTGTTTTCCGTTGCGAAGTTCAACAGTAGCATTCCATTGTCGTTGAGCTCATCACGCCCGTACATTCCTATTACCCTTCCGTCCCCTCCGTCCAACCTATCTCCCGTCCGCGCATTGGCGTCCATCAGGACATACACCAATTCTTTTTCTTTGGAAGGGATCCTCCGCACGAGACTCTCAAGTTTCCCCCAGAACACGCGCTTGCTGTCTGCGGTT